AAAAGGCACCCCCCCAAAAAAAAAAAACATGCAGACATGATCTAGAATGCCGGCCAAAAAGATCGTTTCACGATCGTTTCGCTCATCGAGTTGGCCGCCTCCCCCGGTGCCAAAGGAAATCTGAGACTTCCACCCGGTCCAACGGCAGGAACATTTGGCATGACCCTCTGGCGGCGACAACTGGTTCCCTGTCTACCTGCTGTGTATGTGGAAAAGACGATGGAAAAGCTGAGAAGAAAAACAAACAAACAGCTGTTGGGGGGGCGTCGTCGTTCTGTAGCTGCCTACATGAGTGACGGTGAAAAATTTGTTGTGGAGCTGCAGGTCATCAGGATTTGGTGAGTGTATGATCCATGTCCATGTCCGTCATTGTTTTTGGTGGGTTTTGGTTCGTTCGTTTTTGCGAAACCACTCACTGACCATTTGTCCTAGCTCACATGATTTTGAAGCGCTCACATGAGTCCAACGATGCTTTCCACTATGACTTTTCGCACGGCTAAGATGCTTATATAATCATAGCTAGTAACATCTACTAACTAAACTACTTGGTCTTCTTCGTCTTCTTCTTCTTCTTTTTCTTCTTCTTCAAGGTTCAGCACAAAATAGCCACTGGGCTAACACCAGCATTCACATGGAAAAGCAGCCAAGCACATCAAACCCACACGGAAACTGCACCGCTAGAAGGCAAACATCAAGCAATACGGAGCTTTTTGGCTGCGTCTGGCGGATGTTCATCGCAGCTTTGGCAACGCAGCTTCACCTTTCGCTGTGGCCATGACAAAGGCAGCCTCCACGCGGAACTCAAAGCAGGGAAGGGACCAAAATGCAGAGTTTGCAGGTATACCAAAGTTTGCAAGCACCTCGTATCAAGGTTATTTTGAACCTTGCTTCCATCTGCGATCGCTCTCTAAAGCTTGTTCCCATGCTCCTTCATGTTGCTTCCACTCGAGGGCAGAGTTTTTGTCCCCATTTCGCCTCTCTCTGAATGTAATCTCACGTCCATGCCACTCGTGCCGTCAGCTCATCCTGGCAGGTGAACTGCATCCATTTTCGTGATCTTGGTCTCACATCAAACGTTTGGATTCCTTCACTCGTTTCTGGCTGTCAAACCACATGACTTGCTAAGCAACCGCCTCCTTCTTCGCACACCGCACTCCCTTGTCCCTCCCTCGCCACTCCGTCTCCGTCTCTTCACGTCGGTTCGGCTCGGCAGCCAGGCCGGACTCGTCGGACGAAGAGTCATCGGCATCAAACCAGGCCTGACTCCGATCGGACAAAAAAGCGAGGCCATCCACTGAACGGCCATGACATGCAAGAGCCATCGAGAGCGGCTCGTCTCTCTAAAATTCGAATCGCCAAGCGACGTCCGTCCAGAAACAGGTGCTCTGCGCGTCTCTTCGCCTGCGCGGTGTTCATGGCCCAAGAGATGCGCTGTGTTCATGGCCCATCTAAGCGAGTGCCGGGATGCATATGCGCTAAGCAAAAGAATGCAACAGATAGCAAAAGCAGGAAGCTAAAGTTGAAAGGATGGTTCAATTAGATCTGTTTCGGCGAATATGGAGCCCTACTGAACCCACAGGCAGCCTGGCATGTGGGCCAAAGAGATGGGCATACAGTACGGTATTCTTAACTCATCGCACATCTGCTCGAAAGTTCCCAACAAATTTGGACAGCCATTTGGGAGTCATCTGTGAAAATCTAGACTTGCAACAAACTGTCGAGAGGCTCAGTTTGGGCAGCTATGATTGCATTCAGAACGGTTCCCATCGAAGTCTGGTGCGTCCAAATTCACCTATGCTCTTCTCTGCGTTGCCTTGGCCTTTGGCCCTGGTCAGCCAGATTTTTGGGAGCGATGCACCCATCCTGCGCAGGATAAAGCTCACAGAGCCTTGCTAAATGTGCGGGGCATTTGCAAAGACTTCCTGACCTGGTGAACTCAGATGCAGCATATGTCTATTGTATAATGTGACATCGATCATCCTGGGACGCCGCTCTGGCCTTTGCTCTGGCCCCTCGCTTTGTTCCATTCTGCATACTGACTTCTCTACTACGGTTCTTTATTCACCTGCCAATGGTCACCAATGCCCACTCCAGTTCGCCCTGCCCAGGCTCCAGATGTCCAGTTCGCCGCCCAGTTCGCCCACACCCAGTCCATACCCAGTCCTCCAGCACCACACGTTGGAACTCAGCCAGGCTCACATAGCCATCCTCACTGCCCCAGACCGCGGGTTCCCCCGCTCTCCCGGAGCGAGACACCTCGGACGTCCGGGACGTGCCCCCGGGACGTCCGGAAAGAAACGACACCGACGTGTCGACGCGACGTTTGGGATCTCCTTGACTCTGAGCTTCTCCAAGAGGGAATGGATGGCCACCTGCACGGAAGTCAGGGCGTTTCTGATGCCCTCAGCTTGCTGAGTCACACGGGGGGGGGGGTTCAAACCCCTAAAAAAGGCGAAGTGTTCTGAGTCACGGGCAGAATCTGTCCGTTCAAACCTGGGTGGTGTGAAGCATGGTGCAGCATGGCGAAGCATGCTGAGGGCAAGAATGACCTTTTGACCTCTATCACTCTATCCTACAAATCCTTTCACAGTGCTAGAGGCCTCTACGACAATATAAAAATAGCTGCCAGCTCATCGAATTTCCAGGACTATCCACATCTATCCAATCATTGGATCTCCAAACACTGACGATCTGGTTCTAGGAGTGACTCATTTATGACTTGTGCACCTGGAAGCGCATGGAAGCGCAGGGTGTGGAAGCCAAACCTTTCCTCTTTGCAGCCCAGGCGACGCGTCACTGCGCAACATGGCTTTGATGTCGGAGAGGGGTAGGTAGCCTGACGGCAGATCTTGTGATTTGCCTAAGGAATCCAGGAACCATGAAAACTTGTCTAAAGTTGTTTAAAAAGTTCCCCGGCATGCGGCCATACGGAAACATTGGTATATAAAAACACACACACCTTAAGCAAAACCAGCCAATGGTGCGATGTTTAAAGACAAAACTTTCCGCAACGCCTCTTCTTGCGAAACGCTTTCGCCATCTTTCGCCCTCGCCTCTTCGCAGGTGGTCCATCTCATTGAACAGGTTCGTCGCCTCAATGAGAATGCTGGCGTTCGAAACCCATACGATTCGCATACGATTCGCTCGAAATCCAGGCTCGAAACAGGTGAGCAATGGTGAGCACAAGTTCTCTCGCACTACACTGCTCCATGCACTTCGGTTCATCACACGGCGGTTCGGTTCATCACCGTGCTAATCTGTTACAGACGTCGGCCGTCTGGGCAGGCGGCCGCTTGCAGGTTTCGAAGTTCCTTCTCCTGATGTGGACTGCTGAGAGGAGTCGCCACCGAAGCCCACACCGAAGCCATCTCAACCAGTTGAACGTCCGTGTCGCGGGCGACCAACCAGCGCGCTGGCCCACTTGTCACTAACTCAAACTTATAGGGGTTTGCATCATTGGCCTCAGCCTCAGGAATCCCACTTCACTCGAAGAGAGGCTCCCCCCAAATGGGCGCAGCTGCTCGCAGCTGCGCTCGCGTTCAGCTGCTGGGCTGTCAGTCCTGAACTGCTTCACTCAGCAAATCATCGTGGCCGATGAGGTCCTCGGACCCCTGGCGGACGAGAGCGGGGGCGTTCCCGCGTCCGGCGGCCGGCGAAGCTCTCCACCGCTGAAGAGCGGCCGCTCTTGAACGAGTGTGCAGCATGACCCCCACCGTTCCTGGTCCGAGCGAATGTAGTCCTGACAGGGGCGAGCGAGGTCGAAAAAGCGCGAGTTCGACCGTCATCGGTGTGATAGGGGACCCCACCCAAAGCAATGGGTCTGGGTCTGTTTTCCTTCTTCGAGGGGTTTGTGTGGGGTCCCCTATTCTAATACACATCAACCGAAGTGTGAGCTTTGTCAAAAAAGTACATGATGTGCCGTGCCAGAGGTCAAAACAAAACCCCCAAGGCAGCTGTGAATCTAACAGTATTTTCCTCCTCAGCGCATTGGACATCGGTTGCCACCGAAATGATACCAAAAGCTTTCGGTTCACTTCGGCTCTTTCTGCTCGTGCCGAAAGCCACCAGGAGGAGGATCAGTCTTGTCAAAAAACAGCGATGCTTCTAGAACAAGAGAATTAGTCATAGTGCTCGCTCCGCTTGAGACTGAAGATATACGAAATTCGACCATTGTATGATTCATTCGCACCTCTTGAGACTGAATTCTGGACTGTCAGATCTGTGTCCGACGCAAAAGTCACAAAAGCAACGGCTCGGCTCCGACTCCATTCTCCCAGAAGTACAGGAATCCGTCGCGGGAGCCAGGCTGCGAGGGGAGGCAGCGAAAGCAACATGGGGACAACCCGAATGGCTAGGACTTTTCGGTGGGTGTGTAGTTCAATAAGGAGACCCCAACCAATGGTTGTCCAAGGTGGTCTTTGGGAGGGCTTCCTCTCGGTTTCCGCCTTCACACCAGGTCTTTGGAGCCGTCCGGACCGCTGCCCAGGGCCTCAGGACCGCCTTCACAATGGCGACTTGATTGCGCCACTTGGGCAAAGGTCATGCTTTCTGAGGCCAAGTCCAGAAGCAGTGAGACATACAGCTTGGTGTTTGATGCTCAGATCAAGACAGGTCGTCTTCTGTTCATCAAAACGACACACCCACTAAGACACGCCCACCTTCAAATTGAGCAAGGGTTGGTGAAGACTTTGGCAGGGGACAAGCAGAACACAAGTGTCGCCCGTCTTGTGTCGTCATCTCCACCTGGCAGGTGTGAAAAACACAGTACTGAATCGCCAGCCGTAAAGCAAAGACTAAAGTGTAAAGCAAACAAAGGCAAACGTAGACGAACTTAGACCTTTTCCGCGTCTTTTTGTCTTTGTTTTTAGCGATGGCCTCCACCCTACTAGCGATGGCCTCCAACCTATTAGCGATAAGAGCGATGGCCTGGGAAATGCAATGGGAAATGCGCTCACTCAACTGAGGGTCTTTCTTATCGAAAATGGAGACACTCCCGTGCCTCAGGCACCCCCAGCCATGGCATAGCCCCGGAGGGGCTTGGCGCCCGGCCAGTGAGGTCCATGATCTTTTCCACCCGCCCAGGGCTGTGTGCTCAGCCTATAGTCTTTCGAGCTTGAGTCTGGCACTCCCTATGCCCCGTTGGTGCAGCATGAAGCTTACTGTAGTAAACGTACAAGTGTTTTGCGACCTAACATGCGGGTGTTGTTGCCTTTCCGTGCGTCATTGGGTGTCTACATGTCTGTGTGAAGTTGCTATGTCAAGTAGGTGCAGACAGAGAGAGAGAGAGAGAGATCTACACAAACGTTTCTCTCCCACCATGTCCCACAGGCTTCTGGGTGCCATCTGCCAAGACACTCCTGGAGCAGCTCCTGGAAGTCGGCTTCCGGGTTGCCTTGGTCAGGAGCCGACACGTCCGATAAAACTCATCCACAACGCTGTCACACTGTGCAAAATAACTGCCACGACACACTTGGCTGCATATGACGCCAAGAGGTATTGGTTGGTCACCTCACAGTCCACAAGTCCAGCCCTCCCACCCAACGATTGATCCCATCAGATGGGATGGGGGAGAACCCGAAACAAGAAAAAAGACACCTGACTCCTCGCTCTGAACCACGTCGCCGATCCACCGCCCTGAACCACCAGCCGTCGTAGGAAGTCCCGCAGTTGGCATGGATCCCTGACCGTGGAGGAGACAGGCTCGGGCGGATGGGACTGGTCGAACGGGTCGGTGCCAAAACCCTGGTGAACGTGGACCCACGAACCAGGCGAAACCCCATGAACGGAACGGAACGGAACGCTCCGCTGTTCGTTCGTCCATGCGTGCTGCCCGGGTTTCCATGTGGGCCTCCTGGGTGTACCAACTCGGAAGTACCAGGAAGTGCCAGCTGATCTGGTCTGGTGTGACACTTGTTCTGCACAACAACACCTTCCGTCACTCCGGTGTGACGCATAGGCTGTTGATCCAGTTCCAGCCAGCGATATGTTTGATTATATTTGATTTCCATACCCTCAGTGGTCCAAAACCGCGCCTGCATGCTATGCGAAAGCCTTCCTCTGTGAGTGGCGGCAACTCGGGCGGGCTTTTCCGGACCTGGGCTTGGGGGCGTGGTGATGACGACAAGAAACGCTGCAAAAGGGCAGAGTTTGGAAAAGTAAAGCCCGTACAAAAATAGATGTTAGTTCTTCTTTCATCGGGGATCATCGGGGGAACTTGTCTAATTGTTTGCACTGCTTGTTGCACAGACTATTGAACTGGAAGTTCGTTAATATAAAGATATAGTTGACATATGTAGAAGTACTTGTCTTTTAATGGAAGCCGGAAAATATATGTATATATAGTTATATATACAATGTTATACAATTCTTTCAATATTGGGCTGCCACTACCTACAAGCAACTGTCTGTGAGAAAAGGGAATCTACTCTGCACCGCCAACCAAAGTTCTCCACACCCTCCTCACTGCAGCCCAAGTTGCCCAGCAATGGTCTTCCCTTTCAGCACAGCACGGCTGTTGACCCATCGCTGTGACAGCAAACCGCGGTGGGTGCCGGGTGAAATGGACCAGCGGCAGCTAGCGGCTGCAGTGCGAACACAAAATCTCACTTGGCTTCTCAACATGAACATACCACAACCATGCAATCCAGCGCTTGACAGCTTGACTTCATTTATGCCAATGCAACATTCAAAAGTCAACCCGGCCTCTACCAATGAGGCTTGCACCCCGGCATCAGCCATGAGGCTCCTGCGTTCACTCTCAAACCCCAGCAGCTAGCCCTGGCAGCCCAGCTATGTACCATCTTCCACATATCTCAACTGCCTGGCCTGAAAGTGATGACCCTAACCTGGTTGGAGAATCTCCGCGAAGCTTCCGCCTGGGCTGAAGACAACCCCAGTCACGTCACGTCACGTCAGAATAGTCACAGCGCTACGCTACAGCAAAAACAAAAACCAGAAGCCATGCCCACCACAGCGCTTTGGCTACGCTGCTACATGCTGAATGTTCTGTGTTGCATCACCAAGTCCGAATCGCTATGGCCCTATGGTATGGTACACCGTCCGGACCTTCCGCAATGTGTTATAAGCAGAGCATGGCCACGGCATAGCGCTGCTGGTGATGGCACCACCAGTCTGCCACCAGTGCCACATCTCGTCTTCGAACTTTCGCGTCAGCTCAGTCACCGCCACGAGGTCGAACCACGGAAGCGCTTTGCTTCACGCCATGTGCCCAGTCTGTCAGTTTCAGTGTGTTTCCGCAGAACCCTGCATGGCACACCGAAGATGCAGCATGCGCGTCTCCAAAATTCGACGCTTAGCTTGCGCTGCTTGCGCTTAAGAGTGGAAGTGGAGGCTCCCAAATCTAGATTGCACAAGAGTGGAAGTGTGGGGCCATCACTTTTGCAAGTAAGACGGCAGCAGTAAGAATCTTTGGCTGGCTGTCTGGGTTTTGGACGACTGGCACGAGTTGCTTTGTTTCGCACATGCCTGAAAATCACCTAAAACTACAAAAAGAATCAAAACACTGCACGCACGCAGGAAACAGTGATGGATAACAAAGATCAACAACATCATGACAGCATGACACAACATCCAAATTGTCTTTCAAAAGTATGCCACAGACTCAGACTGTTCACGGGCATAAAAGATGAAACTGTTCAAAAATAAATGCAACTTAGACCAAGCGCTTGTAGCTGTGGAATTCCCTCCAATTCCTTCCTTGAAACATGCCTGCACACATCTTCCCCCCAAAACATCCCGAAACATCCAAAACTCACTCTAAATGTCTGGACATTCTGGACTGCATTCTGGTGAGATCTCTAAACATACCCAGCTCAAGCTCAGCCACATCGAGGGCTGCCTTCAATTTGCGCAGCTCGCGCAAGTTGCAGCACCTTAGCATGCAGCTCTACAAACCCAAACGGGGCCTCAGCAAACTGCTCCTTCCAAGCTGCTCAAGGAGCTCGTTGATCAGCTCACCTTTGAAGAAGGCTTTCGCCGAGCCACCTCGGGTGACCGATCTCCGAAGCCTCGCTCCCTCCGAAGCCTCGCTCGCTTCAGCTCGCATGATGGGTCGATGATGGTCAGTACCGACCTGTGGTTCACTGCGCCAAGTATGCCCTCTATCAACCGGTCGGTTAGGGCGACAAAAAGGGCCTGACTGGAGCCCTTGCGGGATCGCCGAGTCGACCCTGATGCACCCTGAGTTGGAGGAATGACCCATGCCAAGCTTCTGATCAAGGAGCCAAGCGTGTCCTGACGGAGTCACAAGTTCAGGTCGTTTTTGGGGCAAGGCCATTCTCTCGAAACCTGAGGCTGTGCCTTGGGCAATTCTTGATCTGAGGTCGAGAAGAACCTCAAAGCAGCACGTGCACACGGACCGAGCTCATCAGAAATCGGAGCTCCAGGTCGCTCAGGTCGGTCCCAGGTCCTGCCGCTCGCTCTGAGCTCCAGGCCAACCATATTGCAAAGCTTGAAGGGCGCGTGGACGCTGCTCGGGGTCCTTCCCTCAGGGGTCTGCTGGAAAAACGCATGCCACACGCAGATGCTTTCGTCAAGTGGCGCAGCATGGCGGAGACCAACTCGGTCAATAAGCGCCTTGGCTGTCAGGATGAGATGCAGGTGGCGTGTTGTCACGTCTATATATTGGCATAGAAATGTGCAAGGCTGTTGGGAAGTCGACAAGCCAGTGAAAACAGATCTGAAACAATAACATCATATAAAATCAGAGGAACTTATCAAGCTCCCAATCGGAGATCTCAAGATAAATGCAAAGCGCAGGACGAAGTTCCCTCAAGCCAAGCAGCAAGTGGGTAGGAAAGAGCTTCCACGGTGGCTGGCATGTTACAGTTAGTTGGCCAACGTCCTTGGCTGGCAAAGGTAGATGCTCCTTCTCGCAACGGAAGCAAGTGACAGCTCATGACAGCTCCACTTCACATGACAGCTCCACTTCATCGCAAAGAAATACATAGTGCCTTTGCTGGCAGGACGCTTGCACATTCTTGGCGCCTTCCTCGCGCGGTGACTCTGCAGCTCACGTTCGAACTTGATTCATTAGTCACTCTTGTCCGGTTCCGGCACCTAATCAAAGATGGATCAAAAGAGCAACCCGATGATGCCTAAGTGGCTCGTGGTATCATACCTAGAATCAAGCATCTTCACATAAGGATTTGATTGCTTAACCCCCTGAAGACTCACATCGACCATGAACATGGACCCCAAACAAACACTGTTCTTTCTCATCAACCACCCAGTCGTTTCACGCTGCATGTGGTCCTTTTTCCATGTCCTTTTTGTCTTGCTCATCGGCCCACTGCGTGAGAACCGCCGCCTCAACGGTCCCCGTCCACAGACCGCGGTGCTCCCCTCGCGCCTGGAAGATGCCCTGCACTTTGTCGAGGCCACTTCTCGGCACCCGAGCAGACATCAACTGGAAGAAGACCACTCCAAGACTGAAGATATCCTCAGGTGACCCGGGCGCCCTGACACCAGATGGGAGAGATTTTCAGGTGGCAGATGGGAGCCCTGACACGGATGGGTCTACGCCTCTCTTCCATTCCAGCACTATTTAGCGTAAATGCGGTTAAATAAGTGTGCATGCGCTTTTCTTGGGAAGTCTTTGTGCAGACTTCTCATTCGTTGCTCTGCGCCACGAGGGTGTATGCCAGAAAGTGCCTTCGCTGCTTTCAAATCAAGTGCCTTCCAAGGCTCTCCCTGGGGCTGCCACCGCTGCTTTCGCCAAGTTTCTGGCGGAATGTAGCCTATCCACTCTCTGTTGGTCAGTTAGGCTCATTCTAAACATTCATTCCCATGCAAGCAGCTAAAACTGTTGACCCCGGCATGATTGGCTGAAGACACTGGCGACCCCTTTATCGTTGGACGTGTTCATGTACAGGATCTGTTTGTGCGACGGAAGGCTCTTGGACTTAATTACGCTGCTCAAATGGTAGTCCAAGACCCTTTCACCTGCGCAAACCCAATAAAACAAGACAAATGCTGATGGCAGATGGCAATGAATGGCAGGCCAAACCACTTTCACACATGCCTTTCGCTGCCAGTCCGTACATGCAAACCGGCCTGGCGTTCCGCTGAGGCCGGTCACCTTCACGGAGATATTCTGCGCCAGGCCAAAATCTGGGAAGAGCAAAGGAAATGAATCCGCTCATGTTTATCTCGATCGTCTATCTATCTATCTATCTATCTATCTATCTTACTTATCTATCTATCTATCTATATATCTATCTATCTATCGATCCATCCATCCATCCCTCCCTCCGTCTGTCTGTCTCTCTCTCTCTCTCTCTGTTTGTCCGTCCGTCTGCTTGGTTATTGTGCAAGTTGTACAGACAGAAGGAGATTGCATGCCATCGCTGCAGCAGGTTCCTTTCCTCAAACTGTTGCAGGCTCTGATCATATAAGCCTTCCATACCGCCCTGCTACATATCTGATCACTACACTTGAATCTCTTGAGCTGTTTGATCTCCATCTGCAAAAGCTGGAGCTGGCCTATGAGGACAACCTCCGGTTTTGTGAAGTCATCATCGTGGCGTATCATCAGGTTTGGCTCCTTAATGTCCTGAGTGAACAACCAAACATCCAATTGAATGCACAAACGCCAAAAACGAACAAGAACAAACAGCCCCGCGAGTGCCCGGGCAACATGAGTCGCAAATGGACTCGAACCGAGCAAACTCAGGAACCTCCCATGTTCAGCGAAACAGAACATCCTCTGGTGGAATCGGTGAGAGAATCTTGGAGACCTCCAACCTTTCGAAACCTGTTTGTTTCAAGAAGAAAGCACTCCATAAGCCCCAAACAACATAACATATCCCTCAAGTGTCTTGAATGCCTCAATTTCCTAGGTCTGGGTGATTGATATTTTCCGGTCTTTGGGGAGTGCCCTGCGCGCCGAGGTGCACAGTGCATCTGGGCCTCCCGATGCAGATATTCCAAACCTTCCAACCAAATGTTCGGAAAACCACATCCATGGACCAGAAACCAGGAAAAGGAAACCAAACTCGTGCTACGTGAATCAAAACATTGTTGAGTGCATTGATTGGAATGGGCTGCCTTCCAAGCATTGGCGAAAAATATCACGCCACCAGCTTTCTCGCATCTCAACTCCTTTGTCCTTGCCGACAGCCGGCAGCTGACATGAAACCAGACTCGGTTTGGGAGCCAGGCAAGCCTTTTGAAAGGCACCGGGAATGGATTTGTCTTGATTGGCATGCTAGGACTCTAGGATGGGTGCTTGCAAAATGAGACGGGAAGTGGATACAAATAGAATTGAACATGTAAACATAATATACATATAGATATATATATATATATTTACCATTATTTATCCAAAGTATGTTCAGCGAGGTTTGCCGACTACTGTGGTCCTAATTGAGAAAGTGAATACCACCGTCACTGTTCAGTCGTTGTGCAGCTTTAGAATTACAGAACTCCTGGGCAGCCATCTAGCAGCTGGGGTGAATTGGACACAAGGGCGGGCACACAAGGCTCCCAGAACCTGCTAGTCTCAGCGGAGTCTCAAATCCAAGTTTGACTTGGAGGAGCTGCAGCGACAAAGGCTAAATGATAAAACCAGACTCTTGATTAATAAACCGAACCCCCCAATTGCTTTTCAAAACGAGAGTCTACATTACAAAATCAATCCATATGCAAATTCGATGTACCATGACACAAAATGAGACAAGGTGATTCACGGGGATGAATGAATGCTGCTGTACACAAGTGGCAGTACTGTTTTGAAGGGATCTTTACAAGAGACATTTTCGAGTGTTACAAAAGGTTGCAGTCACTTTTGTGTGTTTACTGTGCGTGAGTACCTCAGAGAGCGGGGCCAAGCGGGAGTCTGGTGCCGGACGCCGGCAACCAAAAACTAGAGATCTTCAGATAGGGGGCTTCAAAAGTGCAATCCTGGTCACATTATCCAAAGGTAGAGATGTCTAGAGAAAAGTGTAAAAGTAAGGCTTTCCAGAGAAAAGTGTTCAACAGTCGGGATTTCTAGACACGTGCCGCCGCAATCACCGACTACCACAAACATCATCACTTGACATGTCCATCACACAAGAAGCATTCCCAAAAAAGCCTCGAGGCTGATTCCCTCCGTCTTGGGATGCACAAACCATGTGCGACGATGACTCCGCACACCCAAAAGCATCTTCATGTTCACAGCATCCTGGCTCATCCTGGCTCTCATGGCCCTCACGCCCTACGTCGCTGCTCGCATCGAGGGGCTCGATCGATCGAATCCACAGCAAAACAGCCCTTCGGCAGCCAAAGCACGTAGGCTCTCTTTGCCAGCTTGGTGAAATCGCCTCCAAAATACCTGGCTTTTTCGTGGATCCGGAGATCCATCTGGGGCTCCACTGTCTTTTGCGTCTGTCTTTCAGGGGCACGGTTCATTCACCAAGTAAACGAAATCTTGATCGTGGAAGGCTTCAAACGTCCTGGCCATGTCTTAGAATACCGAGACATATTTTGATGTATTGTGTGGCTGTGTGGAAAATCACTGCAGTAATACAGAAATCTGCTGAGCTGAAATACGAGTCCTTGCCACATGGACATTGTCGAACTCTTTCATGCGGTGAAATTCTTCCTCGGCTGAAACGAGAACAACTCGAAACAGCGTGACTTGCCATGGGACGAGGCTGAGATATGAATACTGTCTGCTTCTTGCATCTTAGGTTCCAGTATTTCTTGCAAGCCTGATGGAAATAAAGCTTGGGTTTGCTCTAGAGCAATGCGGGTCAGGCGTTCAATGTGGGTTTAAAGACTGGCGTAGCCGGACACGCCTTGCCACTTGCGATTACAGTAAACCATGAAAGACTCCATTGAGTGCTTTCCAGCCTCCAGCATTTGCATTCTTCTTGCTGTAGAACTTTATGCAATATGTGGCGCGTACTTGAGACTGGCCACCTCGCTTGAAGGCCGCTTGAGGCTGAACTCATTGTGGCAACATGACAACTGACCAAGGGGCAATTTGACAAATACCCAAACCACGAAGAACTCTCTTCGGTTTTCCTCGCCAGGTACATGATGCCTGGCCGCTGACAGCCAGCTGGCAGCCCATCACATGCTTCATAAAGCTCTAAAGACTCTAAAGTCTGCAAAGTCTGTCAACAATCTAGTACTTTATCCTTGTTGCCGAAGAAGACCATTGCCTTGTCCGCCGCGACCCATCTCACGTACAACCGAATAGCCTCCGTCCTGCTGCTCTGCGACTTCTCATGTGTCACCACTTTGATGCTTCTTTCAAAGAAGCAGCTGGATGATAAGGGTTGCCAGATACCGAAAAGTCAGAGTTGCTCCAGCATGGTGATCCAAACCTTCTTACAAACTCTATATAGACCCCTGAATAGATAGAAACTTAAAATCCGTGTCACAATGTATTGGAAATCGTGGAACTATCTATTTGGGGACCACTATATGTGCATATATGTGCAGGTTGCAGGAATCCAGCTGTACTCCTCCAGTGTGCTGGTCACAAATTCACCATCCAGCTGCGCAGGCCCTCCGGAAAGGGCCCAGCGCCATTGAAGCAGGGTCTTCTTCACCATCACTCTCCTCACTACAGACTCTGGTCCTGTAAGAAAATCTGGGATTTCAATGAAGCCAACAAAGGAAAGCAAAGAGTAAACCCGGCAGGCGTTTTTAGTCAGAGATAAGTCGCGTCTCTTCGAGGCAAAGCATGCCACTTCCAGTGAAGTCAAAGCTACTAAAGGTCTCTGGCAAATTGCCTCAGAGGTTACAGCACTGCCGCGCTGATCAGAATTCCTCTCGAACTCAGTTACCCAAGGTTCCATACAACACTGCCTATGACTTCTGTTATCCTCTGACTCCACATGCCGAGAAGCTGAAAATTACATCAGGCAATGCAAAGTGTCTGGCCTTGGCACACAAGACTTGGATTGGAGATGGACGTCCCATGCCACAAAAAGCGAATCTGTCAGGCGTTGTCTTTCTGGCCGCTGCTGGATCAGGGTTTGGGATGGCCCCAGGTTCCAAACATGGACTGGAGGAGGATTCCAGGTTACCTGCCCCGCCCCCCAAGAAGTCAAGAATATGTATGTATATATATATAAATAGATGTGTGTGTGTGTACCCGTGTGCATACACACATAGATACATATATATGTGTACTGTACACAGGTAAATGCATATATGTATTTATTTATCGAGTGCTTTGGCAAGCTTTTGGTTGCCATTCCCAGGTGTAAATTGGCTCTCTGCTTTCGGATGAGATGGACATGTGAATATGTGTTTGTACTATGCCGATGGCATTCTTTTTGTGAAAGTGCGTTCAATTGTTGTCACTGCATGGTGTTATTATGTGGGCACGTTTGAACAAAGCTACGAGCTGTGGGTAGATACTCTTACATGCCCTCACCTCTTGAAAGGTTTCTTCACGTGTATCCTTGGAACTGTTTTCCTTGGCGGTTCGTCCACAATTTCGTGGAACTGTCCATGGCAAAACCCATGTGCTGCGTTGATGTCCTCCTCTTCTGAAATTGCTTTGCCTGTTCCTACTCTTCTTCTCCCTACCTTAGTTTGATTTTACAGTTGCGCCAACTACTCCTCCCGTTGATGACTCTTTCTCTTAGAAGCAGCCCTTCCATTCTTGACTACTGTCTCTGTTTACGCGTCTTCTCCTAGTCTTGAGGAGCGCCTTCTTTGTCAAAGGCAGCGGGCCAATCGCCGTCATCTTATGTCGCCTAGATCAACGTGTTCTCAATGGATCTTTTGACTTTCTCAAGCAGCCTTTCTCTTTTTTCCGTCTGAGTTCTCCAGTAAGAAGCTTGGGGCATTAAGACAGATAATAGAAATGTGCAAAAAGAATTGCAAGAGCTGAACAAGAGACCCAAAAGCGACTGAAGAAGGGGAAAGCTGATTGTGAATCTGAAGGTCTTGGAAAGATCTACGCTAGACGTTGAAAAGCCACTAGACCAAGAGAAAGTCAAAAGCCCCTCAAGAATAGGAAGAACGTGTGAAGAAAAGGCCATGATAGAAAGGCAGGGAAAGCTCTATAAATGACAGAGGAGAGAATGAATTCGACACATGAGCTGAGGCAATGAAACAAGCTAGTCACAAAAGGGTAGAGGAACCAAGTAAGAAAAGATTGAGTTGACAGGTCTTTCTAGCATATCTATATATATATATCTATACATACTTCCCGCATAGGGCTTGAAGCCACAAACAAGCAAGAAGGGCTAACTGAGAGATGGAACAAAACAGCCTAGAAAAAGTAAGTACAGCAATGAGAGGAGGAGCCAAAACCATACAGAGCAATCGATCAAGAAGGCAAATGCTAATCAAAAACGTTGCAAATGTGTGCGCCATCTGCTCCCATTCCTTTACACCGGTGGGCGGCATTATTTACATTATCCGGTGGCTGAAGTCCCGTACAGTCTTCCAATTGTTAGTATATGTGCGTTTCCTCTTTCACCGATGCTTCTCTCTCTCTCTCTCCTGAGGTTATGTGGATTTGTTATATTCACCGAGCAATTTCCTAATTGTTCACTGATTCTGATCAGCTGCCTCATTAAAGCTAAAACAATTCAATGCGCCCTTTTCAACCTTCTCTAATGCTGCCTGTCCGGCAAACAGAAACAGGACCAGACCCAATGTTTCCCTTCAACTGCTGTTCTTTCCCGAATTTGCTTTGCCCCCTCCTACCCTTGCTCTACTTGTGTCAACTGGATTCATTGCTACGCTGACTATTCATGTTCTACTCGTCTGCATAAGGAAGAGGAGCTATATATTATATATGACTGTCAATAGAACTTGAACGGACCAACCAAGAGGGAAAAGGATCAATGCAAGAAAATGCATCAAGAAAGATTCAAGCAAGTAGCAACAACAAAGCAATGGAGGAAGAAGCAGGCACAGTGAGATTAGAAAGATCTTGCTTGGGAAAAGGAAGGGCAAACCAATTGCATCAGCAAGGAAACAGCTGAACAAGAAGAAGGAGCTGACTAGAAATAGTAATAGCACAAACTAGCTAAGAAGGGTACAGCCACTGTGTAAGCAGGGTAGTGGCTGATGAAAGACAAGCTAGACTCTATGCATCAATAGGTTCGAAAAAATATTGGCAGGATCGGGACTGCAATCAATCCTTTGGTATCTTGTAAAGCTCCCGAAACCCTATTGCTTTCCTACATTTTGTGAATCGTTCTCAAACATGATAGTTCAACAGTTCTAGGAATGGAAATTGATGAGCAAGAAATAGAAAGCTACTTGACTTGACCAAGAGCAAAGCAGCTGCGAAGAAGACTTAGAGATCCACAGGAAGAACCAAAAGAAGAGATGAGGCAACCACTTGAAAAGGATCTTTGTAGCGAAACTGGAAGTTACGCCCTCCGTCCCTACCGTACCCTACAACAAGGCGGCTCCACAACACCCCCCACTACAATAGGATGTTCTTTCTCAACGACCTCCCCTACACTGTCACACACGACTAGTATACAAAGGCTCCCCTTAAAGGTTTCGGAACGGCACTATGTTAATTATTGGGCCAGAGTCTGTGTTTTGAAGGGTTAGTTCGTTCCGAGATTCCGATGTGTTCCAAAGTGATGTTTCTTGCACACCATAGAATATTGGTGTGCTTCCAGAATGGTTAGTAGAATATTGACGCAATGTATGCTGAGCGACCTTCGACTAGCAAGGAAAGACACCTTTTTGAAGGCAGGGATTTCCTGGCGTAGTTCCTTTCACAGTGGTTCGGACAAACCCTTCAGCATGAGGAAGTTTGGAAGTTGCTACCCTTCAGCATTTCCGGACGAACATCGGACTAGGAATTTTAACTCCCCACCTGTCAGGCTTAGTGCATGGGCATTCCACGGTCCAAGGTGACCACGATACATATATATATATATATGCCACTGATCTATATATTTTTTGCTGTTTATGTATGTGTATCATCAGGACGAGTTGATGTAAAGACTTACCAAAACAATTGCCGGTGGCTGTATCAATTGCGGCTTGCCAGAATAAAATGCACAAATGGCGAGGCAACCACCATCTTACGGCACCCTCTCCCCATGCACTACATATGCAATGCAGTGTCTCAATCGATTCAGCAAAGAAAAGCAAGAAAAGTAGACCCCAACCAGGGGAGAAAAAAAACGCAAAAGAGGATCTCCCTTTGCCTTCACCACGCGTCAAACATGTACCTTTCAGTGAAAGCGCTCGGCTCTTGTGCTGAACCAATGGTGCAAACGAAGGGACCCAGCATCACCGAACCCACAGACCCTAGGACCAGCACGGGCAACCATTCAAAGGAGTAAGAACCCCTCACACGGTTTCAGCTGTTTAGGAAAAATGGAGAAAATAAACTTTGGGGTGGCGGGGTGTCATAGCCAATCAGGTATGGGTGTTATTAATCAAGAGTCCACATTACAAAATTGCACATTATGCTTGGCCTCCCTTCTTCGCCTTGATTTGAAGGGCCATATCAGCGTTCAACAACACCCTGACCACCGACCCAACAAGTCCTCGACAAACTGAGATGCCAGTGCCCTGCACCAAAACTATCGAGGAGCCAAATCGGCTGTCATACTGATGGCTCCACTCAAGTCCAATGACCTGTGACAGGTCAGGTGACTCCCAATCTGTTGTGACAGGTGCTTGCAACCTTCTTCAACCAAGGTGCTGTAGACCCGTACTTTAATGGAAGTTGGATCAGGCATGAAGAACTACATTTGCTCATATGTGCTGAGCAAGTGTATCTCAGGTTGGCAGGCCGCCACCCCGAGGTTTGATGAAACGACTGCCCTGCCTCCGGCCCAACTTGTCCTTGTGACGGGCATGTCGGTGGAAGAAGAACATGACTTTGGTGCTGCGAAGAAGCCTGGAGACTTCACGAGTCTCAACAGCAAAGTCACAGTCAGTTGCCGAAAGTTGGGACATCCAAATGGGCGAAGCTTGCGGAATCTGGTTGTCACCCAGTCCTCTAAACTCTCTTAGGTGAATTGTGTGCTACGAATCACCTTTAAGCCGAAACCCCAATGCTCATCTTGGGCCCTCCTTTGTCGCAGACAATTGTCAATAGCTTGCACTGCATCCGCTTTTCCATCTTGTTGCATGGCGCAAGGAATGGCCAGGCTGCACACTCAGAAAGCAGTTAGCTAGACCCTGCAAAAATTGAATGTCCACCAAATGTTTCCTTTGTGGGGTACACACGTTAAAGCATGTTCAAGCACTAAGCACTGTGTATAGTATAAGGTCGTCTATAGCACGCAAGTGGCCAGCACCAGAAATCACACTAGAACTACACCACTTGTCATGTCAAAATGGTTGCCGGGGCAGTTGTGCTTGTGTGTCTGCTTGCGAGTGGGTTTTATGTGGGGAATCATCGCCACTTTCTTCCCGTTCTCGCTGAATGGTCGGTCTCGTGGGATGTTCCAAGTATCTGCAGAGCTGTGCTTGCATCAGCACCGTGGCTGGAGTTCGGCTCAGCCACTGGAATTGCAGCAGGATGAACTACAATGGGTTCTGCGGGGTTTCTACTAGAGCAAAAGGGCTGAGCAGGTCGGAGCTGTTGTACAAACATGAAGTTGATCGAGTGAAACCTGCACCAGACATGGCATCACCGGCCTGTGAAACATCATCTCGATCAAGGGTCTTGTTGATTGAAGGGGGTTGATGCTACCAGTCGGAGGACCAAAAACTCAACCATACAACTTACAACCGGCACCCAAAAATGTACGGTGCATCATGCATGTCTAGCACTGCAAAACATCTTGAGATTCGCCCTTTTTGCGTTTTTCGTGTTCGAAGTTGTCGCACACGTCTCCTCCACTTCTTTGACACAACCAGAACCGAAACTTTGAGACGGCAAAATCTTCACACGCTGAAAGCGCCTCCTACCATGCTGAAAACGAACATGGACCCTGAAAACCACTGGTTGGTAAAGGAAACAGTCTTTCAATGTCTTTCAGGGTGCCATTCTGAGGACCCGCGTTAGCTTTCGGGAGAGTGCAGCAATAGAGTTAAACGCTTGTCTTATCTTGGAAGTCCTTCCAGACAAACGTCATTATCCTGGCCCCAGCCCCCTCACATCTTCCAACACGCGCGGAAAGCACGTAGCATCATCTTGCACGTGCACGTCGTACACAAACATCATCACACAGCTACGACACTATGATGATGCATGCCGGGTGTCTAAAAAAAACACACGAACGCTGGGTCCCGCAAGTGCGTTGACACCCCAAACAACATCTGGACCAGCATAGGTGCTTGAAAGGACCAGCATCTTGGGGTGTGCAAGAGTATGTGTTTCAGATGTCTTACTCCTCATGGTGCAACAGTTACTGTAACGTTTTGCAGCTACTGGATGTCACGCCACTTCTCGACAATTTGTTCGCACTGCCGTTCGCCGCATCCGGGCGCATGTGGGCGCCCATAAAGGTGCATGTGGTGGTGTTGAAACACACAACAAAGGCCTTAGCCTGCCAGAACTTGCAATTATCCATTGCTACCACGGTGGCTGCTACAGTCAAGCCTACCAGGCAGGGGTTGAGAAGTTGCTTGCACTTGACAATATTGTGTTGATATTGCTGTGGATTGGCTATGGATCAATACCTCCAACCTAGAAACAGTGGCCTCTAACCTAATAGCGATGGCCTCCAAGCTCATAGCGATGGCCTCCAACCTAGAAGCATAGCCTCCAACCTACAAGCAATGGCCTCCAACCTAATAGCGATGGCCTCCCAACTAATCGAAACGGCCGCCAACCTAACCTCAAAGCAAGCCAGTTTCTGAGTCTAACAAAAGCATCAAGAGAATCATAAACTTTGATGGGTTTGAGTCTTTTCACCCAGGCCCAAAGAAAACACTTAAGAATGGGCCATACAGACAGGGGCTCGATGTTAGAATCAGTTGACGAAGTTCCAGAAATTAGTTACTGACTACCTAGCACTTTAGTTACTGAATACCTAGCCCATGACTTGCAGAACGGAATGAATGCTGGGTCGGAGAGAAGAACTGTTTAACAAACGCAGTAGCCCTTTACCATGCTTCCATACATGAACCACCATGAAAGCAAGCCACAGCGAGAACAACAGGTAACTAGTTCTGCAGGTACGTTTGCACGGGTCCCAGAGGAGGTCTTCGTTGGCCACCGCTCCTCTGCGACCCCCGTGGCCCCCTGCTCGCAAATGAGACATGAAACGCAAAACCTTGGAGACAGGTGTTGACACACACACACACACACAGACACGGATGGAGAGGGTTTAAAGATGAAGGATGGGGTGGGGTGGGGGGGATGGGGTGGGTGTGGGGGGTGGGGGGTGTTAATAACGTCTGTCTGGACATTCATCTACATGATGATCTCTTTTTGCTAATTGCTTCCACAGTACCATAACAAACACAATCGTGGGCATTCGTAGGCATCTTGCTAGTGGTTACGGTGGCCTCCAATCTACTAGCGATGCCCCCCATAGTAGTAGCGATGGCCTCCAACCTACTAGCAATGACACGCGTTCCGAAGCGATCACATTCCCGCGTTCCGAAGCGATCGTTTTTCTGCGTTCCGAAGCGACTGCCTCACCGGAGAGCATCCAGCTCTACCCGAATTTGCTGTCAACTATGTCTATTGAAACGTGACAGACCATTTCCTCATCTTTCTCATCTTCGGTTATGATCACCTCAGTTGCTTTGACTTCTCACTCGGCTGCTGCATCGGTTCCCTGCGCTTTTGGCCAAATTGACCTGTCATTCCAACAAAACCTCTACCCACGTGCATGGCGGATTCTTACGTGCATGCAACACGGCGGAGCAGCGCCGTCCCAAGACACGATGTGCATGTGCATGTCGAGTTTCGAGCTACAAAAAGCCTCGGCATGCTTCAAATGCTGCCAGGGCACAGTGGAAAACTCGGCATGCTTCAAAGGCTGCCAGGGCACAGTGGAAAACAATTTACCTCAGCGCATGAGCATGTTGGGCACAAACAAAACATTCCGTGACGTTCTGGGGTGAATCATCCTGCTTCGGATCCTCCGGGGGGCATTCCGCGTCGGTCGGCGAAGACCACGCGAGGTAAGCGGCTCGTCGCAAGTCGACGGGGGGCGTTTGGACCCCCTTCAGGCAACAAGAGTCTTCCATGCTTGCTTTTTGGCAGCCTCCCACCTGATGGCTCCATGAGCTGAAACGGAGCCACAATTCCTAGCCCTCTGTTGGTTCTGCCAGCCTGGCAGGCGCAGAAGGGTAGCGGGTTTTGTTGTGCTCGGCGCACGCGTCGTGGCCAAAGCACACCAACCCCTCACGTTCGCTCTCAGGCAGCTTCTCCAATAGTGCCTGTGGAGTTCAGCGTGCTGAGAAGCATACTCAAGCCATGCAGGCGACTTCAGGTCATAGGATACTAATGTTAAGTTAAGTGTCCCTATAAGTCTAGGAACCAAATCATTAGTGCGAGCGCGTCTTCAAGTAAGCTTCCTTGAAGAAGCGTGAGCTATCCTACGTCCTAAGTAGTAGCTACTAGCTACCTCTCCCCACTAGCTACCTACTTCTAGCTAACCTACCTCCTAGAAAAAAAAGACAGAGAATTTCGCGTGGAAACTCCCCCGGAAACCCTGCGCTGCCTTGATTTGTCGCTTCGTCACATCCACCTTGAGCTGCTTCAGCTTCTCAGCCTCAGGTTTTGCGTCATCAGCTGGTGGAGATTTACCTCCGATTTTGTTGTGTTAGTTTACACTGAGGTCCACTTGACTTTGTTGCGCGGCGCCTTTGGGGACAGTATCTCCCCGTGATCTATATTAGATGCTTGTGGTTGTGATTCTTTTGTTTGGTTCATTCCACGCCCAAAACTGCCTTAGATGTATATATATATATGTATACGTACAGTAAATCAATGGATTTTAGTGGTTCTACGTGTCTCTCATCTGATTTTCTGTCCTTATGACTCAGTTCAGGCAAGGGTCAAATGGGTTTCCTTCCAGGAAGTTGACAATACTCTTGTCATCATCCTGACTGGCCTGTCAAATTGAGACCCTCCACTAATCACTCTTGATGCTTCTGCTGATGCTGACTTTCCTTCGAGCTTCTACCAAACCCGTTCTCAGTTCCAAAGACTACTGAAGGTGCAGCGCAATTGACTGGCCTCTGACAGCCAGCTGGACAGAAGCATTTGCACATCCTGGAGGGGCAATCGCTTGAGCTCATTTGCCGGCCCCTTCCATGCACAAGATGGTTGGCGTGTTAAGAGTGTCCGCCAGGTTACGTGTCAACCTATCAAGCTTCCAAACAGTAACAGGACACCCTCATCGGACCGCGCCTCAGTCTCAGGTAGATATGCAAACGGTCACCACATGTTCGCTATGTATTCTGTCTGACTTTGCATTTCCAAAAAAAACAGCCTCCGCGGAGCTCCGGGCACTCCCGGAACTGCGACGAGACGGTCCTGGGCAGACATGTCGGGGTCGGCGAGTTGGATCTTCTGCTCCACATCCTGCACAGCTGGATCTGTAAGAGCCCCAACAACAAGACGTGGCGTTCTGCTCGGCAAGCGATCGTCATGGTGCCGTTACCCTACATATCTTCGGAAATATGTATATAATACAATATAATATATCATCCCCGGTGCTGATGAGAATACAGGTTAGGTACGCTCATTGTGTTCTAAAATTAGGTGAGAGGTGTTTCAAGTCATTATATATGTGTTTAAAAGTTTCAGTCTGCCAGTTAAAACATTGGGCATCAATTGTCTTCTTTATACTGAATGAGTCACATAAAATGACAAAAGCGTGCTTAACCACCCCCACTTTAAATTGTTGGCAGCAACGGTGATAATATACCTGGACCTACATTATATAAATGATCATAAATGTACAGTATACATATACATGTATATATATATATGTATACATACAGCATCATACAGTATGCATTTCATGAGGTTACTTCATCTGACCAAACAGGAAATTGCTTCTATCTGCTTCAGCTCATCCCCAGGTAGTATGTACTGGATTCGGTTGATCAAGATCACTTCGTTGGAAGAACAAACAAGCGCATGTTCGGTCCTTCCGCAGCAATCGGCACTTCACTCGCCAGTAGAAGAACTCTCTGGAATGTCTCCACTCCAGCCCCTGCAAATACTTCAGCATGCTTCAACCAGCAACACCAACT